ATCCACCCACACTCGCCCACACACCCACCGAAACTGACATCTCTGATTAGAATACGAGACACAATGACCAATGTTTATCTACAATATAAATTTGTTTCTATTAGGAAAGAGTAACTTGCCATTTTTTTTTGTACGAGACTTTTACGAGTTATGAAGAAGACTTAATTTTTATAGTGCTTCTCTAAGTTGTTTGTAACATCTTGTTTTAGTGTTTATCTCAAGAAAAATGATCTTTTCACTTGCAAAAGCAGTCATAAAGTGAAGAAATTGATTAAATTATTTTCGTACTTGCCTGCATGATGAGTAACCGAGACGACATTTGCTCTACCACTAACTGGATTAACAATTTTAAAACAACATTCTCTTTGGTATTATACTGTGTATCTGGAACATTACTAACTTTAGTGAACAAACTTATAGTTGTGGTATTCCCATATGCTAATGTACTTTTAGTATTGCAGAATGGGGTGGCCGTTATTTTGTTGATATTATTTTCTCAAATTTTTCGAAATACGTTCGGATCTTTGCCAGTATTAAATATAAACATTGTGCGACTGTGGATGCCGTTAGTTTTATTATTTGTAATGATGCTCACGTCAAGTCTATGGGCATTAATGTATGTAAGTGTACCAACTGTAATTGTGATGCGCAACTTAACAACTTTATTTGTTGCTATTCTGGAGTATGTTTTCCTCAGCAACAAAATTGACCGCCTTTCAGCTGCTACATTAATTGGCATGCTTTTAGGTGCAATGTTGTACGCAAAGCATGATTTGACTTTCAGTATTGAGGGCTACGCTTGGTTATGTGTGAATATTATAGGCACGAGTCTATACCAGATATATATAAAAACACTCATTCATTTACCTCTTTTCAAAGACATTGGATCGATTGGTATGTCATATTATAATAATTTAATTTCTTTACCTGTACTCTTCATTTTTGCCTGTGTTATGGGAGAGTTAACAATACTATCATCAAAGTTTGATCTGAAATATGCACTTGAAATGAAGCCGATAAGTTTGGTTTTTCTTTCTGGCATACTTGGATTTTCATTAAGTGTATCTGCATTCGCACTTAACAAACTTATTTCTGCAACATCTATGATGGTAGCTAATAATGCTAATAAATTTACTGTGATCATTCTCAGTGAAATATTTGTTCAATTTACACTTGATCTTACGGCATCGATCGGTGCACTATCAGTTTTATTTCTTGGATGGTTGTATTCTCAAGCAGCAAAACCACTATCAACAAAAATTTTCATTATGACTGCTATTATGTGTACCGTCACGAGTGCTGTTTTCGAATATAAAAACATTAATATTGATATGATTAACACTGGTTACCATTCTCAACTAGATTCTATCGATAGATATACCATTTTGTTGAATAAGTTTTCCCATATGGGCAATAAAATAATCACTGCCATGGAAAAAGCTAAAGGTGGAAAAATTTACCAATCATTTCTTCCAGTATCTAAATTATCTAAACTTTCTCCTCGCGTATCCCCCGGAATTTTAATAAAGAATACTACAGAATTCCAACTCCCAAAAATATGTGTTAATAGAAATGCTTCAATTTGGAAAATTTGTAAAGCTATTCCGTGTACACCTTATATTGACAAGCCTAACTGGAACTATCCACGTACAACAATGGCAGGGGAAAAGACAGGCGACTTTGTCAATCGCGTATTAGAAATAGCCTGGGGTTCAAATCCACCTTCTGTAGATCTGTATCTACGTAGTGGATGCAATGGGATTATGGAAATGAAATATCTGTTTCAAAGTATCGAAATATTTTGGCCACGCTTTTTAGGATCTATTATTATTGTACTTGATGCCGGTGACGAAGCAATTTTAAAATATCTCTTGCCTGAAAAACCGGCGCATCATTACATCATTGAATTTGAACATACTCCATGTGTTCCTGGTCGTGTTTTTAATCAATACAGTTATTTAAATCTTGATCGACATTCCTCTGCCGACTACGTGGTTACAATTGACAGTGATTGCATTCTTCATTCACCTGTCACACCAGATCTTATTTTTCGTCAAGGCAGAGTAATATTAGCCTCTTCACGGACTTTTCAAAAGGATATTTGGCTAAAATCGCTTGATGCTATGCTAGGTGTCGGCATGTATGATGGACACTATATGGTGACACAACCAGTTACGTTTTCTCGATCAACATTCTCCTCATTTCGCCGATGGTTCCATGAATCCAAAGGTAAATGCTACGAAGATCAACTTTCACAATTGTCGCCAGCTCACTACGAAATGTTTTGCTGGATGTGCCAACTCGGAACATACCTTGAAAAGGGGAATCCTGGTCAAAATGAGTATAAAAAGTATTGGTTTCAGCACTTAGACAACAATACACTAGAACCAATCTTACGATACTCGATTCATGTCACATATGAACCTTATGGGTCTGATCAATGTTTGGTACCAAAATGTTATGAAAAATCTGCCAATGAAGCCATCCAACAAGGATTATGCCGAGCGTTTGGTTCGTCCATATTTCATTTCTGCGGCAACTATTCGCATTCGAATTATATAAACAATGTTACATTCTTATATGCACACGCAGATATTCAAGCAGCTGATCAAAAGTCCCGGGAAAATGCACTACTTAGCTATCTTAAGCGCCTATCAGATGTAACCATGGCCGCGTTACATAGATCACAGTAAACACAAACAAGTTTCTGAAGATTTGAAACTCTATTGGTTCATAGCGAGCGCAGACGTTCCTCTTGTTAAGCCACATCTTCTCAGCAAAGTTATTCACATACATTGTGATGAAATTTACTGTTTTTTGAACAATTTTATAGGGTGGGGAATGAGTGTGAGTGCGTATGGATGGGTTAATGTCAGTGTGGGTGTGGGTGTGGGTGTGGGTGTGGGTGTGGGTGTGGGTGTGGGTGTGGGTGTGGGTGTGGGTGTGGGTGTGGGTGTGGGTGTGGGTGTGGGTGTGGGTGTGGGTGTG